AGCACCTGCAGTGGTCTATCGAAGACTGGAAGAAGATCTTAAGGACCGGTGAATCAAAATTTAAAATTTTTGGTTCATCGTGCAGGGTTTTTGTATGACGTAGAGTAGGCAAAAGGAGGGTTCAAACATGGAGGAGGAAGCGTGATGGTCTGGGCTCTTTTGCTGGATCCAGAGTCTGTGACTTGCACAGAGTGAGTGGCACCTTGATCCAAAACTACTAACACAGTGTTTTGCAGGGCCATGCTATACTCTCTGGTGTACTCCTAGTTGGTCAGGGGTTCATCCTACAGCAAGATAATGCCCCAAAATATACCTCCAGGTTGTGTCAGAATGAAGAAATGAACAAGACGGTAGGCTTCAAATCATGGAATGGACAGCACAGTCTCCAGACTTAAACCCCACCAAGCTGGTTTGGGATGAACTGGACAGAAGGGTGAAAGCAAAGCAGCCTACACATGCAACACTTTTGTGGGAACTTCTGCAACAGCGTTGGGAAGAACTTTCTGAACAATATTTGATTTCCATTGTAGAAAAAATGTTACAAGTGTGTTCGACTGTTATAGTTGCAAAAGGTGGCTAATTTGATGAGTCAACAATTTAAATTACATTTTGTTAAATAAAACAATTCCACAATTTCTTTTGGATGTCCAATTGTTTATTTGTTGTATGCTTTATTTTCAGAGTACTTTGAGACATTAAACTGTAAATTTCAATGAAATCTGCAAAAATGGGGGTGTTCTAAAACTTTTGCCCGGTAGTGTATAGTACTAGATAATAAAACTGCTATACATTTTTACAAGTAAATCTTTCAGTCAAACTGGTGTACCTTGTAGAGTTATGCCGTTCAATTCGCTCAGTTCAGACCAAGAAAGCTATCTTGGTCTGCCACTACACATCGTCAGTTATATGTCTCTTATTCCCTGCATTTATTCTTTAATTTTGTCAGTTTATTTATAAATCGTGGGAAAAACATCTACACAGTGCCATCTTTTAAGTCTGTTTATTACATATATTTTTTTTAAATCTTTTATTAATCCTGTAGGGACCTTTTAACAAATCTTAACCTGTTTACAGTCGAGTAGAGCTGCAGAACTTTCTCTTATAATGCAAGCAAATACTACAGGGAGATATAACTTGTAAATTGGGATAATAAAGACAGCTGCTGAGAGTTGGAGTGCTGAGGCAGCAAGATGCGAAGCTGTGCATCTAGCGTAGAATTCTGCATTCATGCACAAACAGCAGGGATCTCACTGGAGGAGAGCTATTCCCAGCCCTATCTCAGCATGTGCACACAGCCATCAGAGGTGTAATTCATCCTAAATGTTCAGAACGCCACACCCCAGCTGTCTTAGAGCTGTCTGGGAACGTTTTAAGCGGTCTTACTCTGTCTAACCAAATATAGTTAGAATAACTATTAACGTAGAACTCCAGCCAAACAGCTGACTGGATGATTGCAATACATATATTTGAACTGCTCTACCTGCCAAAATATTTGTAATTCCATGTAGGCAGTCTTGTGAATTATACATCCCTGCTGCACTGCAAAGCCAAGTGGGTGTGAACACTATTTCCTATTGCAGGTTTTTCAGCTTCTAGTGTCACTGGATTATGGAAGAGTATCATTTTACCCCTAAAGTCCTCTCTTGTAAGCTGCCCAAACCTCTCCACCAGTGCCAAAAATATTCTAGAATTCAAAAAGTGGGATTAGTTTACAGTGCATAGGCTCCCACTCTCACTCTAACGTCTGCTATGCAGTGCTTTGCACAAGGTAGTATAATAAAACTTTGCAACAATGTTATGTTAATAAAAGCATAACAACTACAAGCATTTAAGCCAGGTGTTCAGGTCTTTGGACATTGTACTGCATATTGCACAAGAGGGACATACCTTTTTGCTTTGAATTGAGATAAGGTTGTCTGAAAAATGTTGCTGACTTTGTTTAGATATCTCATTATAGCCCTCTTAATGCAGAAGATTTCTACATGTCTCACTTTCTTCACAAATCCAAAAAACAAATGTTTTTTCCTCATTTTATGATGGTGGGTGTGTAGCAGAGTGCTGTGTGGCAGCCACCCTTACAGCCAGAGAGCGATCATAACACATCTCCCATAGGCGACAGTCCAGTCATTAAAGTCGCGATCATTAGATCGCTAACTCACTTACTGGTTAGAAACTATGCTCACCTGATCACTGGTCTGTATTGTCTTCGTGGCAGTCATCTTGGGGGAACTTTTGTCTGATTGGACCCAAAGTTCGCCCGCAATTTGGGCAACAATTTTGGATCCAGAGAGGCCCTTGCTGCGGTCATGTGGTGAGTCATGCAGTGTGGGAAGTATTGAGATAGGGACAGGTTACACGCTGGCTAGAGAGATAGGTCTAGTGCTGGGAATGGTTGCTGATGGGCAGGGACATGTAGGGATGGTGTGAAATACCCCTGAAGATTCCTGAAAGTTTGGGGAAGGCTTGCATCTGGTTTGGGGCATTCTTGGATCCTGTATTGCCAGTACAGCACCCTATCATGAGGCCAATTTATGCCAGTAAAAGGGACCTGTTCAAGGAGCACTTCTGAAGCACACTGTTGCCTCTAAGTGCTGCATATATGAAATGCCTTGTACCAGAACTGAGAGTGTGCCTGTATGATGTTGGATAGCTACTGTATTGTCAAATTGTTTATCTTTTCATATCAAAACCAGAAAATCTAAAAGAAACATCACCACAAATGTAGCCCTGCCCAAAAGTATTGTCATACAAATCATTATTTGTGCTCCTAGGCCAACTATACATCTAGAACCACTGGCTTATACTACAGATGCAGTCATTCAGCTGCTTTTGGATTGTTGGCCATCGCCAGTGCAGTGCAAGGAACCAAAGGCTTCTACGGATTAGGACGTGAAGAGTAACAAGGGTTTTTGGATATCTAAGAAATTATGATACCATATCTTTTGACTATTGTAGTTATGGTAGTCTATAATTTTGATTTAGGTAGATTGCAAGTATCTACAATGAGGTTACAGTTATCCTTTTTTTTAAATTAATTTTTTACATGAATGGTAAGTCATTTGAATATGTAGATATAAAATACCACATTTATGCCAAAGAAAATCTTTCCTGAGTTTTCTGCATCAAGTGTATCGGTATATTTTGCTTGTTTAAAGGACATGTCTGGGCAAAATCTAAAGTAACAAACATATTCAGTGCATCTTTCCAATACATGCACATTTATCTATGTTTTGCCGTTTAAAAACAGGACAAGAACAAACAAATACCGCTTGATCCTGCCAGAAAACCTGCAATATCAAGCAGTGTTATCAGCCGTGGACAGGGCATGTGTTACTGGAAAAATGAAGCTGAAAATTAAAGCTGATCTCCAAGAATTACACAAAAACTTCACTTGCAGTGGGGGCCCCTCTGCACTATAGAGTCAAAGTAGTTTTAAACTCTCAACCTTTTTTTTCAAAAATGAATCCAGATCAAACAAATATACTTTGCCCAGTGCAGTATTTCTTAACATTTTTGCCCAAGCAATTGCAGTCATCATGTTTCTGAGCAGCTGGCTCCAACTCTCTAAGCTCAGCTTCCATGAGCTTCCTGCCCAGTACAAGATCACAAGGGAATGAGCAGTCTGCAGGAGTTGTCTGTCTACTAAGTTGGAGAAAGGTGGAGGGAGGACTGAGGGAATTAAAGGAGAAGTATGGGGCTATTGCCAGCTATATGCTAAGAACGCAACAGCCGAGACAGGTCTCAATAATACTGTCAAGATCCACCCCACTGGCTGATTGACAGCTGGCTCTGCCTTTGCAGAGGCAGAGTCATCTGTGCCCGCCCCTTCCCACGTCCGTTTCTCCAGTCAGCGCTGTAGAAACGAAGAGGGGGGATTCCTGCAGGGAGCGGTGACTGACAGTCACCGCTCTCTGCAGGGAGAGGAATGGGATGTCAGAGATCGGCTGTGTGTGTTCGCTGACTTCCCGATCAATAGAGCCGACCCGTGACAGCTTCTTTGTCACAGGTAGGCTTTAATTACCCCGTAATTCTCCTTTAAGAGGAGGGAAATGGCTTGCCCTGCTGTGCCTTGTGGAGACACACAGCTTACTGGCACTCACAATGGTGGCTCCATATGATACTGCAAGGGAAAGGAGACACACAAAACGAGGATATCAGGACCAGTTCTAAGGAGACCAGCTGATTCTGCAGGAAAATAAACCTTTTAAATATTGGTTAGCAGCATCCATTGTAATTGATTTTAAACAGCATTTGATTCAGTACAGCGCTGCATGACGGAATAAATGTCAGTCAAAGTACCGCAGCGCTGAATACTGAAAAATGGCCTGGATGGGAAGGGGGTTTAACACCGCGGATGTCAACTGGTTAAAAACCTTTTTGACTGTAATATCCCTTTAAATGCTCATCCAGTCTCAGAGTAGAGTAATAAGCTGTGATATTTACCTTATTCTTTGCTCTGGCAGTTGCCCTCCATTTGTTTGGCTTGTCTTCTAAAGCCTCTTCTCTATGGATCGCCACATGACGTCATCACTGCTTTGTATGTGAGCATTGTGAGGTACCGCTCACAACCCAAAACATCAGGTAGAAGAGGTTAGCACCTAGACCTAATGAGCATTTTATTTTTTTGTGTAATTCAGCGTTAAGTTAAAAAAAAAACTGAAAAAAAGAAAACTAATGTAGCCACTACATCTAAGAACTGGTAAGCTGCAATATATTACATTTGACATTGCTGTATTGTTGTTTTGGGGTATATTTGAAAGAGGAAAGCTGACTTTTATATAGCGAATCTAATATGCGAGTCTGTGTAAATTCATGTTTTTTATAGCAAATCTCTACGGGCTGCAGAAACAATTTCTTCTCATGATTAGTGCAAGCTAGATGGCTTACTGTGCCAGTGGGCGTGAAATACATGCAGGAAATATGCCGTATACATGAAGCTACAGTAATTTTATTTGTAAATGAAAATGTGTTTTGAAATCTTTTTTTTTTTTTGCTTTTAGATTTATTCAAGAGATTGAACATGCTATTGGCTTTGGACAAGCTAAACAATGTCCCTTGAGAGAGTTCCTTACTATTTACATCAAGAACATCTTCCTCAACCAGGTGTTAGCTGAGATCAACAAAGATATTGAGGGAGTCACCAAGGTGTCAGATCCCTTGAAGATTCTGGCAAGTGCCGATACCATGAAAGTCCTTGGAGTCCAAAGGCCACTTTTACAGGTACAAAAATATCCTCTTATTATGAACACAGTTATAGTGGATGTTAAGCTAAACCTTTTTTTAGTTTCGGTTAGGGCAAGAAGGGGTGAAAACCTTAGTTTTTGTTTACTAAAACTCTTGTTTGTTCAATAAACATGTTAACTTAACAGAACCTCTGAATTTTAGGACAGAATTAAACTATGCAGCTCATATGGCCTTAAAGACCATTTCTAGGTAAATACTGTACCCATTCCCCTTTCCTCTTCTCCCCCAACCTATCCCCCCAACTATTTTCATTAAAAAACTCTAAAACCTTTTTTTGCTTACCTACTGTCTTGTGTACCTCAACAAAGCCTCTTCTGTGAGTGGAGAGGTGATCCAGTGGTGCAGGCTGTGCCCATGCTGAACATTCCTCTCATGGTGACATCCCGCTTATGCAGTCTTCTGGAGTCTGAGAGGACTCCACTGCTGGAAAGACATGTGAAATGTTTATGTCACCTGGACAGGTATGTGGGCTCCCAAATAAACACCAGAACTCTGCAGTCCAGAAGGTAGGGGAATCTGGACTGGCATGTCACTTGACCATGGATTTAGGTAACTAAAAGCGGTATTTTGGTAGATTTTTTTATGTTCTACCCAGTGATTAGTTGTGGGGGTTATATAGGGTAGTTGGGGGGATGGACACATTTCCAAAGGTCAACTTTTAAAGTAAAATACTATTTTTCACTTTTAAAAATGTATAGCATATACTGTATAAGTGCTTACAATTCTTTGCAATATGCCAAACTACAGTAGTGTACAAAACACTGATATTCCATGCAAAAGGCTTTTATTTTTGTTAATATATGTTCTTGGGACTCTTAAGGCCTAAGGTGTGTTGAAGATGCCTACATGGTTAGAACGAAGGCAGACCCTCAAATTTAACAGTTAGTTTGCAAAATGTCATGATAAGACTACAATCCATATCTTCATAACAAAATAAGTAATAGTTGCTAATGAAGTTGGCGAAAATCCTTGCAACATATATAGTTTACCTCAAATAACTAAATACATTTATAAATAAATAACATTGGAAGCTCACACATCACACTGTTCTTAGAAGTACAACACATTTGTTAACATTTTGTTTAGGGCTGCATATAATGATTATTTTCATAATCAATTAGCCAATTAATCGGATAACAAAAATGTAATAAATACAATCCTTATTTAAAATGAAATACACAAATGCAGCGTTACACACAAAGTTTACTTCAGAATAAAACTGCATGCACAATTTTTTGCAATCGCACTGCCCTGGAACGCACGACATTCTGGGTGGGAGGCGTGTTTGGGGTGCCATTGAAATGAATGGTACTGCCTTCCACCTCCAAAGTTATACAGGGCTCCCTGTTTTAGTATAAGCCCTCGACCACAAAACCTTCCAAGTCTGCCAGCAAGTCCTGCTCACAATGAGGGGACAGCCCAACTTTCTCAAGTGGGGGGGCATCTGCTGGCCTTTGCGGCTGTCTGGAGTTCAGACATATAGGATCTATGGGTACACTCCATAGTCTCCCAGTGTTAAAAGGTGGACCTGCTATCCTACCCTCCTCAGTTTATGCCGTACAATATTACCTCTTCCCCACAACGGAAGGAAGCGCTACCAGGGGCCCCACAGCAATTGCTAATATCAGGAGTCATCCCTCTCATGCCCCATCCCTCAGGAGGAGAGGTTCAAGATTTTTAGTTCAACCACTTCACCGTTCGTAAACTGAACTGTGGAGTTTGTACTATCTTGGACTTGAAGTATCTCAACACGTTTTTTGCAGGTCAGTATATTTCCCACACCAGTGCTTTTTGCGTTTGTCCATAGGGAGATTAGCACATTCAATTTGTGGCGCTTCCCTTTGGCCTTTCCACAGTCCCTGGGGTGTTCAAAAGTGTATTGACCTTTGTTTTTGCACTGTTGCATTCTCAGGATGACCATGTAGTGGGATATTTGGACAACCTTCTACTGAAGGTTGGACTTCAGTGGGAAAATTTAAGCAATACAGCATTTCAGCTAGGTACTCATGCTACTCATCTACTCATCCCCACTAACTTCCTAAAGTATATGGGTCTTCTCTTGAAAACTGAACAGGCAAGGGTATTTCTAAATTCAGTCTTGTGTTGTCAGGTGCGGACCATTCAAGCTAAGGAACTGCCCTGGGTGAGATTCTCCATCAGGGTCTCTGGTCAGATGGTGACCTCCTTTGAAGTGGTACCATACGCTCAGTTCCACTCCAGACCACTCCATCTGAGCATTGTAGCTGCATAGGACAAGAAGACTCACTCACTGGATTGCCCCATGTACCTATTGGCCAGGGGGAGAAACTCGCTGGCCTGGATCTCCGGTCTGATGCTGGAGACAGGAAGACCTTCCTGTCACTTTAGTGGACATTGTCGTACTAATGATGGATACCAGCCTGGGTTGTGGGTGTATGCTAGGAATCTCGACTGTACAGGGGACCTGGTCAGCGAGGGAAGCTAGACTGTCCATAAATGTTCTGGAGCTGAGATCAATTCAACTCTCCTTGCAACACTGGTCATGTCACCTTCAAGGTCGACCAGTGAGGATCCAATCCAACAACACCACATCTGCGACATACATCAAGGAGGAGCCATAGGTCGCATAGTTTAAAGAGAAGTGGACCTGATCTTGGCTTGGACAGAACTTCATGATCCAGTCCTGTCCATTGTACACATTGCAGGAGTGGAAAATTGGGAGCCAAACTTTTTCTCCAGGCAGAGGCTGGATTTGGGGCAATGGTCTCTTCACACTGAGTTGTTCCAGGAGGTGTAGCAATGCTGGAGGACACCGGACATAGGTCTCCTGACGTTCAAACTGAACAACAAACTAGACAGGTTTGTATTTTGGTCCACTGATCCGAGAGTGTTCACAGTGGATGTGCTGGTGTTTCCGTGGGATCAGTTCTCTCTGATCTTCACCTTCCCTCCATTGTAGATTCTTCCTTGTCTGCTCTACAAGATCGAGACATAGGGAATTTCAGTGATCCCCAAGGTTTCCAAGTGGCCCAGAAGAGTGGGGTACGTGGACATCTTTTGGATGCTGGCAGATTCTCCTTGGCCTCTTCTAGGCTGTCCAGACCTGCTGTCTCAAGGTGCTGTGTTTCATCTTGCTTCTTGGTCACTAGCTTTGATGGCTTAGTTGTTGAACCTAAAGTCCTGAATGATAGGGGTCTGCCTAATTCTGTGCTTCCCATACTTTGCAGGCCAAACATACACTGAAGTGTACACTGAAATATACACGGCCGATCCTTCGGCTAGCTTCGGCCCCAGGACCCCTTCGGTTCTTCACAAGGATAAGTTTGTGCTTAAACTAAAGGATCCTTTTTGCTTAAAGGAGAACTATGGGGTTAAGGCTTTTCCCCATAGTTCTCCTTAGGGTAACGGGAGGACACAAACTAGCGTCCTCCCGTCACCCTAAGCTCCACAGTATACCGCAAGCTCCTGCTCGCGGTATACTGAGACGCCGCAGCTGAAGCGGATCCCGACAATTATGTCTGGATCCACCCAGCTGCGTGATTGACAGCTGGCTCTGCCTATCTAGAGGCAGAGCCAGCTGTACCCTCCCCCGTCCGTTCCGCCAGTCAGCGCTAGCGGATCGGAGCGGGGAGGGGGGAATCCAGCCCCTCCCCTGTCACGGCAGAGAGCCGTGACAGGATCGAGAGGTGAGCGAAGGCCAGTATGTGTTCGCTCACCTCCCGATCTACTGAGCCGACCTGTGACAGTCTCATTCTCACAGGTCGGCTAGAACTATGAGGTGAGTGAAAATCACTCACCTCATAGTTCTCCTTTAAGGTGGTGTCTTCCTTTCATCATAATGAGGACATTGTCCTTCCCTCCTTTTGTCTTCCCTCTAAAAATCCAAAGTCTCTCTTCATTGTTTGGATGTGGTGCATGGGATATTGAGTTTATCTCTCAGCTACATTTTTTCCAACAATCAGACTGTTTCTCATTCCTGGAGGACCTCGTTCCACCATTTCAAGGTGGATCATACAGGTCATTGCACATGCCTATTCAGTGAAAGTGAATGCTCTGCCTTTTTCTGTGAAGGGGCACTCTACAGGAAAATACAATTTTTGAATTACTAGTAAAATTTGGTTCTTGGAGTACACAGTCTAAAAAAAATTGTATTTTCTTCAGTGGGAGAAGTTATATGAGGGCATTACAGCTCTAGCCAGTGTTCAATCCCCTGCACTGGACTCCACTCTGACTCCTGGGTGAAGCTTTCCTGTCTCAGCCCTGGGTGGAGCCCTGAACATCAGCCGGCACCCTTTCAAAAGGGTGCCGGCTGATGTTCAGGGCTTTCAAAAGGGTGCCGGCTGATGTTCAGGGCTCCAGAGGACCCCTAAAATACGAGGATACTCCGTTTAAACACCACGGGTAAACGGGAGACCTTTCCTTCCCTGAAACCTGACCCAGCGTGGAAATCTAGGACGGAGCTCCAGGCTTATCTTGACGAAACAAACGTGTTTAACATCTTCTGATCTGGTGAGTGCATTCCCTTGAGGGGATCTTCTCCACTTTTTTTCTTAATTTTTTCTTCGTTTTTTCTTCTGTTTTTTGGATTTGTGTTGGACACATTATTGTACTGATTTTTCACTGTGGAAGTTTGGATTTTCGTTGGACACATTATTGCACTGAATTTTCGTTGTGGAAGTGTCTTACATTTATGGACTTTTAAAGACTTGAAAAACTACAAAAGATTTGGACTATTCACGGATACATTGATAGAAGTTTATTTCATCTTATTTCAGTTTATTTAAATGGTTACACATTGTTTATTCACCATTTAATATATTTATTCACACTTGATACAATTATTCACAGTTTATCACAGTTTTTTAAACCTTTATTAGATAAATTTCATACATCTTTTGATCACTTGTTATACACAACCATTCACATAGATTTAATCTAAATTATTGAGCCTTTGCGATACACCCCTGCACTGAATGTTTGATTTTTTAGCTTCAATT